GGGGGGGGGGGGGGGGGGGGGGGGGGGGGGGGGATTGTTAGGTTTTATTGTAATTTGCAAGTTTGCAAATAAAAAGGACTAAAATTAATATGATATAAAAGTTAAGGAGTAAGTTGCAATTTGTATAAGTTGAGTTGTATATGTTCTAGGGTTCGAGTATGAAAAGAGAATAAAAACGGCGTCGTAATTTCACAAGCTCATTGACATGTCTTCGCTCAAGCGGCAGAAACAAAAACTTCGTCGCTTTCCTGTCGCCTTGTCCTCACTCGAGCAACAACTTGCCACTCGTCGTCATTGATTCCTTGCTCGAGCGATAGGGTCATCCAGAAAGTTTTAATTCAGGTTTTTAAGACTTTTTGTCCAATCCATTCAATCCTAAACCTATAGTATAAATACCAGCACACCTCTGAACGATTTTTTCTAAGGTCCTAAACCTATAGTATAAATACCAGCACACCTCTGAACGATTTTTTCTAAGGTTGAACATTAAGAGAACTCATATTGCTCCATATCTTCTTCATCAAATTCATCCATAGCTTTCAACCTTCGTAGTTTGATTTGTTTTTGGCGATGAAAACATTAAATCCACTTAATCCAAATACTAAACTGCCTACCTTCTAAACATCTGTCAGAGTTCTGAAACTCAAAGAAAAGAGACTAGAATTCCAATTGTTGTTGGAGGACGCGGAATTCTTCATTGATCCACATGAGATAGACGAATTCATAAAATTGTAGTCGAGAGTTGGTGTAAGAGCACACAATTTAGGAGAGCTGTGAAAATTATAGTCAGGAGGTTAGAAAGTACTTGCGGTAGTCGTGTCTGACGGACTGTAAGTTTAAATTCGTTTATAGTGAATTTTTGACGACAAAGTGTCCGAAATTTTTATCCAATTGGGGTTTCTCCGTGATAATTCTATGCGTTATTTATTGTTTTTATATAACCGTGGCAGTTCAACATAGGAAAATTAGATTGATTGATTAACCATCCAGAGATAATTAAAAGTGAGTTATTACTATTTAATTATTAATTTTTTAATTCCGCATAATCACGTATTCACCCCCTCTGGGTGTAATTTGGTTGAACCTTGTAATTTCATCAATAATTGTTTGGACTTAACAGTCTCCCTTTAACTCATTTTCACTTGCTTCATCTTGTTAAATTGGGTTCTTATTTTCGTGAATATGATCATGACAGTTAATATTCTCCTTTTCAACACTCAACACTTTGGTTTTGCGTAAAGAAATGGAATGATTTCTACTATATTCTTCCTCGTAATGATATTTTTTGTAATAACTTTGATTGTGTACGAAATAATATAGAACTTTCTTTTTAGAATTATACTTGTAACCTTGCTAGTGGATCTTGCTTATATCATCAAATACGCAAGGCCCAAAACTATAATAAAAATATATAAGCTGCCAAATATCCAAATTCTAACACGTTTCAGCCATGCATGCAACCAGGTGTCCCTTCCAAAAATCTTGAGCTCCTCAAGTCAATTTAATTGCATCGTAAGAGAGAACTAAAAGAATTCAGACAGAGCTGGAGAAATGTCTAGGAACTGGATTAAGGATGTATACAAGAAAGTGGCTGATGTTTTTGGCAAAGTAGACCCAAAAAATAGACATTTTCCCACACTGAAAGGGCATGCTGCTGCTCAACAATATGCAGAACAAGTTGTTGAATCGCACCACTCTTAAAGAAAACATCAGAGCACTGAAAAAAGAGTTCAAGATATACAGATGGAACCCTGATAATCCATACCAGAAGCCAGATCTTCAATCCTACTTTGTAGATCTTTCCACTTGTGGGCCCATGGTAACGCCAACATATTCACCTCATATTTCTATTTATTTATAATTTAAAACACTTTCCATTAATCATGCTTGTAACTTTGGTCGTGGGTTTCAAGTGAATTTATTTATTCTTTTTCTGTTTTATAAATCTTTTCAAGTAAATTTATATATACTTTTCTGTTGTATGAATCTTTTTTTTTATTTAGCTTTTATTCGTTCTATAGGAATAAGTTTTAAAAACAATTAAGCCTGTTGAATAGGCTCAGTGACAAGGAGCCTGTTCTATGGCCTGGAGCAGGACTGGATGGCATTGTATATTCAAATAAACTTTTAGTGACATTAATTAGGTTATTTTTAATTATTTAATTAAAGTTAATTAGCTTTTCTGATTCTAATTTTAAATTTATAAAAATAAATTATTGATGGCCGATCAAGCTGGCTGGCTACATTCCAGCCATCTCGGCTGAAGTCCCATCCTTGGAAGGGCTAAATGTGTTATTCTCTTGAATTTTCTATTCATTCAAAACATATCTTCTATTTCTGGGTACTTCATTTTCGTACTCTCCTTTTCAAATAACTGTCTGTGTTGTAGATGTAGGGAAGTGCCAGTACTGAAACAGTAAACGGTCATTCACCTAATGACAACTTCTGCAAAATAAACGGTATCAAAGCCTTACAATCAACGGTTACGTGAAAAAAGTCTTGAAGAGAAATTATCTACGACTATGATTTTCTCCATTGTTATTTTTAATGTTCTTTTGTAGGTTCTTGATGCATTGCAAAAGATAAAGGCAGAGGATGATTCAAGTTTGAGTTATAGGAGATCATGCAGAGAAGGAATATGTGGTTCATGTGCCAGGAACATTGTTAAGATTTGAGATTCCATCTTAAAATGTCAATCTTGTTAAGAGGAGTAGCCCAAAATCTTTATTAATTGGTCTGTGTCAACATCTTCATTCGATGTGGGATTATATCCCTTAACAAATACTTTTTGAACTTAATTATTTAGGGCGTGTTCGGTAGAGATTAAAATCAGCTTATAAGAGGAGTAGCCCAAAATCTTTATTAATTGGTCCGTATCGACATTATTTATCGATATAAGATATATATCCCTTAACACACCCCATAAGATGGTGGCTCATTTGAGCACCAATCTTGAAATCCACGTGATCATTTTAGAGTCTTAAAGAGATTGAATCGTTCGTTGGAGTATAAGGGCTCTGATACCATGTTAATATTTGAGATTCCATCTTAAAAGGTCAATCTTATTAAGAGGAGTAGTCCAAGATTTTTATTTATTGGTCCGTGTGGACATCATTTATCGATGTGGGATATATATCCCTTAACAAACATCGATGGAACCAATACGGTAGCATGCCTTGAGCCAATTGATGTAGACACTAGCAAGGCTACTTTCATCACTCCCCTCCCCGATATGTATGTTATCAAAGATTTGGTTGTCGATCTCACCAATTTCTACCAGCAATACAAGAAAGATGAGCTCACTCAGATAATCACTTGGAACTTTATTTCCGATTAAGTAGGTCGTCTATGTCATACTCGTTACGCACTGTATAATGTCCTCAATCCGATCTTCAAACTTTAGACTCATGATTTAGTTTATTTAATATTTACTGATAATTGTGGTGGTGCAGGTCAATTGAGCCGCGCTTAAGACTAAAAAGCCCCCACATGAAGGCAGTGGCGGACCCAACATTGAAGTTCAGCCCGGGCAGACGTTGACCGGTCAACGTCGACAACCAGCTATCGTAAGAACGAGATCGTTTATTAATATTTAATTAAATAATGCTAAAAATCGGTTGAAAAAATAGGGACTAGATGCACAATTAGACAAAGAATACCTAGGTATGGACTTTTGTTTTGGTTGAAAAAATCGCTCCATAATCTGCAAAATGCCCAAATTTATTTTTCACTTAAAATTGATTAAAAAGCGGTCTACACATGGTTTAATTGAGCCCAACATCTTTTCCATTAATATTTCACTTATCCAATTTCGTAAAAACCTAAGTGCTTATTTGGTAGGAATTTTTGGGGGAAAAATTGATTTTTAAATAGTGATATGATGAGAAATGTGTGGTTGAAAAAGAAGAAAAATTATTGATGTGATGAAAAATATTATTTTATTGAAAAATGTGTGGTTGAAAATGATAATTAATTTACTGTATAATTTGAGAATAAAAAACAAACAGACCATAAATTCCCAAATCAAAATTCACAAATCAGAATTATAAGTCATAAGTCATAGTCTCAGTCTTTCAGACAATAATATAACATAAAATCTCATTTCTCATAATTCATAAATCACAAATTCACAAATTATCCAATTTGTTGTTGTCATTAACGCAAATCAGATTCACAGTCTACGTAAATATTCTCAAATTCACAAATTCCCAATTATTTCATAAATCATAAACTTTTAGCAACAAAATCCGCAATATTCTTAGATTTTCGAATTCACAAAATCCCCAAATTTCAAATTCACAAAATTCAAAATCTACAAACTACATTCTACAGCTTCAATTCACAAATCAAAAACACATTCCTGAACCCTAAACATAATTTATAAAACATAAATAACCAATCAAAAAATTAACTACAGGAAGGAAAAAAAACGAAAAGACAGGAAAGCAAACTCACTGTGAAGTGTGAAAGCAGACGGCGCTACAGCGAAGTTGGGACTTGGGAGCCTGCCTGGGGGCTGGGTCTGGCCGAGATCGCGAGTCGAGACTCCGTCACGCCGGACGGCCGGAGAGGTGGAGAGCAAGGCACAGCCTCACAGGAACAAACAGCAACGCATAACGGCACAGGCACGACCAATCGCATTAGCCGGTCGTCTCCCTCCTCTACGGTTTTTTCGTTGCCTGGGTTTCAATTTTTGAATTGAGGATTTGGAATGGATTTAGTTTTGATTGTGGCTAATGGGTTGCAAATTGGCCGAATTCATTGAGCCTTGTTGTTTAAAAAAATGGCCCAAACCCAAACACTGAAAACATGAAACAAAATAACAAAGGAAAAAAAAAATTTCACCAGTGCCGGCTGCCTTCTTCGTGCTTCCTGGCGGACCTTCAAGCTCCTGGCAGACCCAGCACGGGCGGCCGCGAGGGCTAGCCAGGTGCTGGGTCCGTCCCTGCATGAAGGTGAATACAAGCAGACTCCCGCTGAAAGAAAGAGACTAGATGGTCTATATGAGTGCATACTATGTGCTTGTTGCAGTACTTCATGCCCTTCTTATTGGTGGAACCCTGAACAGATTCTTGGACCAGCAGCATTACTTCATGGTACCGTTGGATTGCAGACAGGTTACTTACTTGAATCTCGATCAAGTTTCACAGATTGATTACTAGTTGGGTGGAGATACCTCCGCGCCCCAGCTTTTATGTATGATCCTATTATACTTGTTTATTATTACTTGGCAGTCGAGATGATTTTGCAGAAGAACGGCTACAAGCATTGACAGAGGATGAAACACGCTTATATCGATGCACGACTATAAGGAACTGTACTGCTACATGCCGGAAAAGCCTGAATCCGGCAAATGCTATTCACAAGATGAAGACTAGACATCTGATTGTTAGCCTAAGAATAACTAACCAAGAGGGGGGTGAATTGGTTATTAAAAATTTTTCGTTAATTACTCCAGATTTTAATAAGTGAGCACGTAAATGATAGAGAATAGTCTAAACACAAGTAAACACGTAAATGGAATAATGTAAATTTGCACGAAGTAAATGCGTTAAGTAAAAGGGATAGAGAATGCAAATGATATGTTATGGAGGTTCAATCCAATCCAATGATCTACGTCCCCCGTTACCAAGTTTTCCGTCACGAGCAAGGCCAAATGCACTATAATGGTAACTAACAACAAGGAGTACCAATCCTTAAGTCACTTACAACAAGGAGCACTTATCCTTAGGTGATTTACAATAAGGAGCACCTATCTTTACAATCGAGTTTTCACAAGACTCTCGAAATCGTCAAGAAATAAGTGATAATTTTACAATAAAGAAACTCTCTTAACAAATGATATAATCAAGTTAAGTATTAGAGAGTTAGGTAAACACTTCAATAGATAGCAAATAATAAAGCTCAAGTGTTGATGTTGTAAACTTTAATGAATGATGGATGATGAAATAATTTGTATCTTTGTATCAAAGTTTCCAACCAACGATCTCTCTTAACAAATAATACAAGTTAAGTATGAAGAGAGATTTTACACTTTAATAAAAGTGTTGGCAAAGGAAACTTCTACAAAAAAGAAGAATAGATGAGATTGTGAGAAGTTTCTTTACAAAAAGAATTCTTGATGAAATAGATGAAACTAGTTTTGATTAATCAATAAATTTTTTGTATCAAAGTTTTCAAGCCAATGATCTCTCTTAACAAATAATACAATTTAAGTATGACGAGAGATTTACACTTTAAATCAAAGTGTGGCAAAGAAAACTTTTATCAAGAATGAAGAATATATGAAGTTTGTGAAGAGTTCTTTGCAAAAAAGATTTCTTGATAAAATGAATGAACTATGTTAAATCAATCAAGAAACTCTTTTGTAATAAATGAAATAGACTTTAAACTCAAGTAAACTGAATGATTTCTCAATAAAAAAAACTCTTAAAAATCTCTTATAAGTTGTTGAAAATGAATGGAGAAGAGATTGATATTTATAGAGCTAAAAAAGAAGGTTGTAGGCACTTCCGGTCGAGTGAACAGTAACTACCTGTCGATCGAAAGTGTCAATATAGCCGTTTGAAAATCTGTTCGTTGGACTTGCAGACAGGCCGGACAGCTTTCAGTATTGTGATCATATCTTTCTTTCCCGATATCCGATTAAGGTGATTCAAAATGGGTTGGAAAGCTAACTCAAAGAGATACAACTTTGCTTCAGAAATCATTTTCAAATTAGATCATCTTCCATGTCAAAAATCTGTCCCGATATGAGATTGAAAATCGGAGTATAACTTTTTTGATTGAAAGTTGAAGTGTGATATTTTGAGGGACGTTTGAAAATGATTTTCAAGGTTTTTGTTATATTACAAATGTTCATTTTTCAAAATCATTTTCATGTTAAAAGAATTTATGCAAGTGATGAATTTATGAGAAATATTTGAGCTTTATGCACTTGATAAACATTGACGAGTTATACCTTTGCATATATAAATGAGATTCGATAAATAACTCTATCTTCAATGTTCTTGATCTCTTCGAGCCTCTCTTTGACTTGTATCTTGATTTGCAATTCTTTTAAGTTCCAATTTAATTGTTGCATGAAAATCGCCACTGTCTCGAATGATTTGTCTTGAATGCTCGTTTAACCTTTACTTGTACTTCATTTGAGTGTGAATAATAATCTTTATAATTTTGAAGGTTTAAACACTCAATTCAATTTGTTAGTAAACAAGATGGACTTGTTTGTTATAATCAAAACATTAAGGTCGTGATCAACCATAAGTCAACACTAATTTCTCTGCCCGTGGAGAAGATGGAAGATCAAGATCAACAGGCATTTGGGCAAGCTTAAATATTGTGGAGACTGGAATCAAGGAAGCTTAGTTTGTTTAAATATATGCATCTAGTGTAGTTTTGATGATGTTGTAATTGATATATAAAAAAGAGAATTTTGTGACACTTTTAGGTTAATTTATCTTTAGCCTTTAGTGAGGAACAAGGTCCTATAGTTGCATAATTAATCTTCAATGGCAAAGATTTTTTGAACGGTCATGAGGCCCTTTTGAAGCGTTTCACCTTCAAGCTTTTTGAGAACTAGCTCAAGTTGAGTAGTAGTTTCATAATGTTGGATGTGCAAGAGTACAAGATAATTTAAAATCACATCTAAATTGAACTCGAAATTGGCACAAATGTTCTCTTTGGCTCTTGTGAAATTTTGGTCCATAACGTTTTTCTTTTGACTATGATGTACTAACTTAGAACTTGTTTGGGAGGGATTTTAATCTTGAAAATATAATCGTTATTGAGTCCTACTCGTCTAATAAAAGTCAATAATAACGACTAATTTTTCAATTTTAATCTGATTTTAATCTCTATCAAACAAGCTCTTAACCTACCATGTGTGGTCATTTCTACGGTTTTGGTTCATTCTACCGTTATCGAGCATTTTTTATTTTTTCAAAAAAAGAGAGAAATAAATTATTAAGTTATAAAGAAAAGAAGAAAAATAAAAAATTGGACAACAAATTTTGTAGCTATTTCATGCGCTAAAATCATTGATGCAATGTGTTGCACCTCGTCCTATGAGGCTTTTATCATTGGTCACTTAGCAGCCAACTAAAAATCACCTAAAGGTACACATATGGGGGTGGCCGAGTTGGTGGAGTATGTAAACGTGTAGACCAAATGTCACGAGTTCGAATCCCCTGCCAACACTTCTTCGGTCGAGCTTGTCGCACCAAGCTTGCCTTGTGCGGTTTATCTCACTTGTGTGGTTTGCGGGGTTATTGCAATGGAGCGGGATTTACCTAGTACGCACTCACAGTGGTCGTGGCTTCGTTGGCGAGTAGCAGCTGCGGATTCCTACGTCAACAAAAAAAAAAAATAATTTCCTAAAGGCTTCGTGCTTTATATCACTTGCATACTTGACTCAACCAAGGCCATGTGTTTCAGCATCAAATAGGTCAACAAGAGGATCAACCTTGTCTGCCTGCCTTTTGTCGGGGTGGCTGGCTCTATAACGAGAAAGAACTCCTCCCTCAAAGCATTGGTATTGAAATCAGGATAAAATTCCTCCACTTAAGTTAGCGACTCGTCATAAGTGAACCTCTTCCAGTAACTGGCGAAGTTATCATACTCTTTAGTAATATGGAAGTTTAAATGTAAGTCTTCATCGCGTCACGCCCCATCTGTCTAAAGCAGATGTCTTAGATTCTCCACTTCTTCGATCAGACCACCCACTTGGTTCCTCGATTTTCCCTTCTCCTTATTAGCTAGCTTCGGCCACCACCTTTTGATGATTATTTGAGACTTCCACCCATAGGCGGAGGTAGTGGGGAGCCCACCCTACTCCCAGCCCATATGGAAAATTTAAAGATTAAAATTATTAAATTATGTTAGCCCAACTCTAGTTTGAATTATAATTCAAGTCCAATACTCATTTATTTAATTTTTGTTAAAGAGACTACAATTATTAAATACTCTTTCATGATATTCACGAAATGTGAATTTCTTATTGTCAATTTAAGCATTTTATTTAATGCGCGTTTGATTAAATTTACTTATGATAATTAAGTAACTTTTATAATTGATAATAAAAATAAATTATTTATTTTAATAGTTAGAGACACTATGTTTTGTTAAGCTTAAAAGTAATTAAAATTTTAATTCTACGGATGTTTTCATATATTACTTATTCATATTTATATATATAAAAAAAATTATCCGTTTCAATCATGAAATAGACGTTATGATCAAAATAAATAACTTGCTCTAAATTCTATCTTGTCAATAAAAGAATATTTGTTAAAGTTTATTTATTTATAAATTGATCTATATATAAATATATTCTTGAAACTAAGCCACATATGGTTATGAATTAAATCTAATTTCTTTGGACCCTCATAATTCTTAATCGATTTTTCTCACTTTGGATGTCATTCTTCACTTATTATGAAATGAAGTGATATAGAAGAATGACGTCCACACCAAATAATATTTTGAGACAATAACATATAGTGATATATTATTATAGCGTGTTTCGGACAAAGCTTTCAATTGTTTGGAAAAACTAATCGTCAAAGTTTTTTAGAACTTTATTTATTAAATAATTTCTTAGTTTTTTATTATGGAATATGTATTATTTGCTTATTTTGATCATGATTTGGTCAAATTATATTTTTAACCCATGTATTGATTTTATATTTGGAAAGAAAATATAAAAAGATTGTGTGGAACATCTTAGAATGAAACATTTAGACTTCTTTTATTTCATTGAATGTCGTACACTCTTTGTCATGAGTTTAGTCTCTTATGACGCAAGTTCATTCGAATTTTTATAAATTTCAACCCATCCGAATATTATTTTCTGGCTCCACCCTTGCTTCATCAACGCATTGACCTCGGACTGAGACAAGTGGATTTCATTCTTCAGACCATTTATTTCTACCACAGCAGAGTCTAGCTTTACTTCAGTATAGGTGCTTTGACTTAGCAGCTTCAGCCTTTGCATTAGCCCTTTTTGCCTCATCGTCGACCTTATTAGTCCTTTGATGGAACTGTCGTTGCTCTTCTAGAGATATTTTCGCCCCTCGGTTCGATGTTTCGATCCCCAACGCCCTAGCCATGAGCATTCTCGACCTCTATCTCTTCGTCCAATACTTGTGAAACACTACAGTGGCTATCTATTCCTCGATGGACAACATTGTAAAGCTATTAGGGCGAACTTCTGAACCTCCACCTTATCTTAAAAAAAGGTTGAACCCCAACCTTGAAGGCTCCACCGCCCCGCCCCTAGAGTATCGTGGAGGAGGTAAATTGAGGGATGTGACTCAGTAGGCCAGGGTACAAGAGCTGTTGTACTGATGCCCACAAAGAGTCAAATTGCATATCTTGTAAGAGGCAATAATCGAACCCTCACACTACGGCTACCAGCTCAACTGAGATTACCTCTCTCCCGTCTTTTGCACCACTGAACTATTCCCCGGGGGGCAACCTCTACCTTATCTTCCTCTATTGTGATGGTGGGGATGGCAATAGGAACATTGGGCTTTGATGGGGTTTGTGGGAGGCAAGCAACAGTTAAAAAAATAATGCATTGGATGAAAAAAAAATCGTTAAAAATTTAAACTATTCAATTGATGAATGTTACGTGGCAAACTGTAAATATAGCAAGATTCAATAAAAATAGATGCGTCAACACTTAAAAAAACTAAGAAAAGATATAGATGGACCTAGTTTCAAAAATTACCATGAGAGGCCATTATGTCGAAGCGGATAAATAGATTGCTTCGGTCCATGAGGCGAGTGAAGCTACGATAAATTTGTTTGCACTTTTGAAAAATTTTAGACAATTAATTCTTATTTTTTTTCCTTTTTTTATTTAATGAGAAAGGTCTTTATTTATAAAATGAACAAAAGTATTGTATTCCGTATGTGTGAATTGTGATTGATTTGGGATTCTACTTCAAAAAAATTAAAATTATGAAAGTATTTTGTGTAACACCCCGAGTTCCTTGAACCCGGATTGCCACGCTATCTTTATTTGTAACTGAATTAACTAAAAAAATTTGCGAAAAATAACTAAATTTTAAACATCACATTTATAACGGTAAAACATCGTCGGCAACAAAACTTATTTGATTAACTTAAGAAATTTGATNAAACTTATCTGATTAACTTAAGAAATTTGATTAAACTTTAAATCTCGAGTTTTTGAAATAACTGAAATGACAAAGTACGTTAATAATATTCAAATACGCAATTTTTGAAATGTAAAGAACTTCATCCATTAAATCGTTGCCACCACTGCCCATCAAACCCGACCGTCTCCAAAATCTGCAAATGTCGTTAAAATAACGGAATGAGTATTTCTAAGAAATACTCAGTAGACTCATCGTCAATAATTAATTTACAGAATAATTGAACACATAATTATGCAAAATATACAGTGACATCATCATCATTATTGGCTCATTTTCTTGAAAATCATAGGCTCTTTAAAATTATAGGGTGTGGGTAGTCTCGTCTCATGCATTTAAGCACATAAGTTATGCATAACATTTTTATCTTATCTCATAAGAAATACTCGTCTCTTCTCATGCATTAAAGCATACAAGTTATGACAAGCATAAAAAATCATATATCTCATATGACATATTCTCATCTTATGTATCAAAGCATATAAATCACGTAAATTCACATAATACATGCAATTATAATTTAAACTAATTAATGGGAGCGAGTTTACCTCAATTTATCTCGAGTCACGTGAAAAGTGGAGCGGGAAGTAACCTTAATCTCCTAATCGTCCGTACGTTTCGTCTAGCTAATATAGAAAATAAGTTTTTAATTAGTATTCCGAAATTTAAAGTTTTAAAATGATAAAATAAAATTTAGAGACCTAAATGTATATTTATTAAAATTGAATTTGACAAATTTAAGGGCTAAAAATAATATTTTCAAAGTAATGGGGCTAAATGTGGAAAACAAAAACTCCAGGGACTGATTTACTAATTATTGAAACTTTGAGATTGAAATAAATAACTTAAAATGGTATAAATAAAGTTCAGGGGCTTAATTGAAAATTTATGAAACTGAAATTAAAAATTTGATGACTGAAATAGACTTTTACAGAAATTAGGGACTAACTGTGAGAAAGCAGAAACTTTNTGGGCTAACTGTTGAAAACAGAAACTCTAGGGGCTGTTTCATTAAAAACAAAATTCTAGGGACTGAAATGAATACTTTTAAAACCTGGGGGCTAGGGCTAAAATTTCTAAAATCAAAATAAAACAAAATCATCTCCCTCTCTCTCATTTCGAGAGAGAGAGAGAGAGAGAGAGAGAGAGAGAGAGAGAGAGAGAGAGAGAGAGAGAGGGGCGTCCTCCGTTTCCGCCACCGGTCGAACGGTCGGTGGCAGCGTCACCGTCGCGTGGTGGCGCCGGTGTGGGGTGGGGGCTGATGGGTGGTTTTTGGCGCACGGGTCGAAGGCAACTGAGGCGAAAGGGCTCGGGTTCTTGGGGTTTCTTGTTGGCATTCAAGCTGGAAATGGGTCGGAGAAGAAGGTAAGTGTATGAGTTTTGGCTTTTCTTGGTTGTGATTGTTTGAGGTGGATTTTGGGTGAGGCTGGATGTCGATTTTGGAGGTGAAGGAGTGGCGATTTCGGTGGATTTTTGGGGGTTTTTGGGGCTGAGGTTGGGGTGTTTTTGTGGTGGTTGCTGTGGTGGTGTTTGGAGTCGGTGGCGGTGGTGGCTGGTAGTGCCTCTGGGTGTCGATTTTGGGTTGAAATGGTGGTTGTTTGGGTGGACTGTGGGGTTGCTTCAGGTGGTGGATGTTTTGTCGGGATTGGCAGTCGGTAATGGTGGTTTGCAGCTTGTATGGGTTGGAAATTGACGGTGGATTGAGTTTTGATTTGGGGTGTTGTTGATAAGTTTCATATGACTTTCCAAAATGAGAGTGGAAGGAATTTTCTTTCTTGCCAAGAATGACTGCTGTAAATGTAAGGAGGGGAGGGAATGGAGTGTTCTATGAATAGTAAATTTTAGGGCGCGAAAATCTAGGTGTTAAGTGGGTCAAGAACTTGGACTGTGAGGGTTTTTTCTAATTGATCCTACGTGGATTGAACCGAGAAAGAATCGAGATTGGGCTAACAAAATATTGGACCCTAAATAAAAGAAACGTGAATATTAATAATTTAAATCTAAATTTTTACTATTCTTTAAGCTATAAGCTTTAATTTGAACTGAGCTGATCAAATTTAACTAAAATGTTGCTGATCTGCTTGTGAGAAAATAAAATTGCAAACTCCAATTTTATGTCTTTCAAGAAAAGTAATTTTATAATATTTGAAATTTTTCGATCGCTACATTTTGCCAGTCAACAAAACAGAAACGTTAGACGATGCTGTTACCTACTACCTTCTTTAATAGTAGAATCCGAACATTTCTTGGTTTGTGTTCAAAAAGAATTATTTTTCTCAATAATTTTTTGGTCTTGTTTCGCTGAGAAAGCAACCACCACTGACCTGTTTATGCCTAATTTTCAAATAATTGATATTTCATAGAAAAAAAAAAAGAAAGGGAAAAGAAAAAAGGGAACCAAAATGTCACTGGCAAGATTACTCCTATATTCCTTGAAAAATCGGTCTGAAGAGTCTCGGCATATATTCAAACGGTAATTTTTCATTCTTTTGATGGAACTTTTTTAGAGTTTTTATTTATCGTCTTCAATGGTGATATACACTCAACAATTACTCGGAAGGATTTAATCATCCTGTGCTCGTGGTAGTTAAATTCACAACTCACGTTATACACGACATGTTATTTTTATGGGGTAGGGCTGAAGTCGCTTTGAATTGTAGAATGAAGCTGCAATAAGGACAATGCCTACTGTAGTTGTGAATTATTCATTTGAGATAAAAGCTAGGAATTGCATTTACCTTGTTATTGAAATCGCATAGAGTTGAAATACAAGATAGAGTTCAATATCTTGCAGATAACACGTTATAATTGAATTAAGGTTGGAGCCAAGCATGGGGGTGTGGTGGGTGATTTCTTTCAACAGAAGCTCATTGTGGCTTCAAGGGAGTATGCTTACTGTTGTTTTTCTGTAAAGGACATACCCATTGTGATTTCATGCTAGATTGATGTATGCTTGCAAGGATGAGAGATTTATTCTGCTAGCCGTGTTTAAAGTGCTTGGAGTTCAAAAAAATTTATGGTAATTTTTGTTGCACTATAAAATGGTACATAGGTGAGGTTCTGTTTGTAATTTAAAAGAGCGAAAACGAAGATAAAAAAGATAAATGGATAATTTTATGGCTTAACCACGGTCAGTTAAAGAGGCTTTGTTTTCTATTTGAGAACAGAGTTGGAGTTTTTGTGCGGCTTTTGCAAAAAAAAAAAAAAAAAATCTCCATGAATGAGGCTCTGTTTAATAAAGAACTACCTGTGCCACAGAGATGGAATACCACATTGGAACAAATTGGTTTGTTAAGCCAAGGTAACTGACCAATTGTTAGTGTTATAGGAGAAAAGTCAAATTTAAATACATGGTTTATTGGATGTTACTTTGGTTTGGATCTTGATGTGCTGCTTAACATATGTGGTAAACATCGTGGATGTTTATTTGGTTTGCAAATTAGAAGCACATAGGGTATTTCAATTCAGTCTGCTCTCATAAATAATGATGGGACATTTGACAAAGCAGTGTTTTACGGTGATATTGAATTGAATTTAGGAAAGTCAGTTTGCAGGCAAAATGGAAGTAGATTCACTCTAAGTGAGATTAGATTACATAATTGACTTAAGTTGTGTTGAGTTCTATTAAAACAGTGGATGATGATGTGATTGCTGATCATATTGTAAGTCCAATCGTAAGTGGCTGGAGTACTTTCTTGCTAATCTTTCTCTTTCTTGATAACCAAAAACGACCCTATTGTGTTTCTTACTACTAAAATCCAGATTAATGCTTTACTATGTTTCTTTTGTAGGTTATGTTACACTAGGTAGTGCAAAGCAGTAAACTTCTGCCTTGATCCTCTGAACTGAATTTTAGTAATCATTTTGAGTGTAGGGGAAGACTCTGTGAAGTGTGAACTGTAACCATTTTTGGGCCATTTTCAGTACATGGTTATGAATACATTCCTAGTGAATTTTGTACTGTTTTGTATTGCGATATATCTTAGGAATGTGTGTGTTTTCTGTTAGTGTTTCATTTTGGTTGCAATTTTGAAGTATACATGTACTTGTGTACGAGGTCTCATATGTTAGCACTGAAATATTTGACAAACCAGTTTTTGTGTAACATCAAATTTAATTTGACATAGCACATAAAATAAGTCTGTTAGCAAAATGCAAATGAATTCACCCTAAGTGAAATTACCCATTGAATTGTTTTGAGTTACTATCATTTGGTAATTCTCTTAACAAGCGAGCACGTATTTTATATTATTTATTTTTTAGAGAATTGGTAATCTTTCTGATGTTCTTCTCTCCCCTGACCTAATTTCATCTTGTAACCAACATTTAGTTATATTCTTGTTTCGTGTGTGTAGATTTGGTTCATCTAAGAGATTTTACTCTTCCAGCACAAGGTCAACGGGAAGCAATACACCTCCCCTTCCATTACCTGAACAGTCTACGTCCCCCAGCCCTTGGAGATCTCTTATTATTGTATGATACTATGCCCCTGTTTGCCCCCCATTAATTTAAATTTTTGGGGGGTAGATAATTTTTAGAATAGTGATTGATGGGAGATGTGTGGTTGAAAAGTTTTTGATTTGTGTGTATTATTATTTTATTTGATGAATGTATGGTTGAGATGAAGAGAGAGAAAAAATTAATGTAATGGAATGTAATATAATGGGGGCCAAACAGGGGCTAAATTTAGAGTGTGTTTGGTAGGGATTTTTTAATGGGGGGCAAACAAGGGCTATAACTCCATCTTCCCTGGAGATGCTCCAATTTTGCAATTCTTGTTCTATAAAATTTATGTCTGTCCTTTTATCCTTTCACCTTACCTTTTAAAGCTCTACTTCAGTTCTGTTCTTGCAGCCTGGTTCCATCATAGCTGGAATTGGTGGTTTGGTTTTTTTCATTCACTATAACGATGAAAAGAGAGCGATTCCAAAAGGTGATTTTGTCATTTATAACTACTGATTTGATTGATTGGCCTTGATGACATAAAGGGTTTTCTAAGTACAATATATATACTAAGTGTCTATTTGGGACGAACAAGTTGTATAGTTCATGCCGAAGTAAAAGTTAGGGATGCTCTTCTGAAATGGCTTGTGACCTAGTATGAGATTTACTGAATCATGAAGCATTTAAGTGAAGTGTGAAATCGTATTGACTGGACTTTGGCTACAATTTCATGCAACTTCCATGGGACTTTAACTGGTTGTAAACGTGTCAGTTGGTGATTGGCTTCAAAGTCTGGGTTATCTGTTACCTAAATTCTACTTTTGGTAGAATGTATATACTAATGATTTACTTATGAGCGATAGGGGCTTTGATGACGATGTTGTTTGTCTAATTACAGACTTACAGCGTGCTTGGTAGGGATGAATGGATTATACTTGATAATACTAAAAACGAAGAGAAGCTAAAATCTTGTTTAGTACACTTTAAAGTTCTTTCTAGCATTGCATACCAAACAAGCTCTTTTTTCTGTTTATACTTGGATCATAATTATTTTATGTGAAACAATCTGTCATCTTTGGTTTTTCTCTTTCTTCTGACTAGCTGTGAATGTTATTAGTACCCTTTTCAAGCATTTCTCTTATTTACTGTTGGCAGCTGTTGTAAATACAGTAATTCTTTATAATAAATTTACCTTTTATGTGCGTTCTCACTGGAAAAAATTGTGTCGATTGCAATCTTGCATCTTTGCATGGAAATTGGACTGGGAAGGGGATTCCTGATATGTGCTCACAATGAAGATAACATAAACATTATGAAATTATACTGCAGCCATCGTTCTTTTGGCTTATTTCAGTGTGTTTCTGTAGGTCTATGTCAGTTTCGCTTGCTATATTCTTGTTGTAATACTTAAAGGAATCCCATTTCTACTTGTAGTGCTATTACATGAAATGACAAATTGCTTCTGCTATCACATTTTCATGATCAAAGAAGATTAAACTAAGGGATATAACATTGGTTAATAAGCAAATGGTCGGTTATTCTTTATAGAAATCAAATGAAATTTACATTGTATATTGACAAACTGTCTTCATTTTATTTTATTTTTTTCATTTTTCAACTTCGATTAGGCCAGGGTGTAAAGTTTGAAAGAAGTGCCATTCAAGGGCCGATAATTGGTGGTCCTTTCAGCCTAATTAATACAGAAGGCCAGTTAGTCACTGAACACAATCTTCTGGGGAACTGGGTTCTACTCTACTTCGGTTATACTTCATCTCCTGATGTTGGGCCAGTAGAGGTTCTAAAGATGGCCAAGACTGTTGAGATATTAGGTTTTACTAATCCATTTTTCTTTAAAATTAAATCGAACTGTTTTTGAGTTTTATGATTGAGTTTTTGTTTTTCCTATTTTGATTGTAACAAGAGTCCAAACAGAATCTCAAGATTTTGCCCATATTTGTCACAATTGATCCTCAGAGGGATACGCCTGCACAGCTTCGTGCTTACCTCAGAGGTGAGTTTGTTATTGACATGCTTTCTTGTACCCTTCCACAAAACTGGATGGAGTATTTTCCATGAAGCCAGACATCTCATATTTGTTGAAAAATGGTAGCATTTATAAGTCGACTTTATTATTAATGAATAATTGTTATCAAAACCTATAATAATATAATTTGTAGAAACTCCTTTGCAATTGAGTTTTATGGAAGATGACCCTGAAGTCGTCATTTTACATCGTGATATAATTTCATCAATCATGCATGCTGCCTTCTTAATCATGATTATTTTTTTGGGTGAGATATCAGTTGTATGTGGCCTTGAGAAGGAAAGATATAGTAAAACAGTAATGTTCAGTTATAAATATTAAGACTTGAAAGAGATCCAATTACTTTCTTAGCTGCTGGCATTTGTGTATATCTTGTCGAAGGGTTTTCCTTTTGTTAATTATCAAAGGAAAGTCTTTTTTCTAATGCACTAAACATCAATTCTGGCAAATTATATTATTCTACAATTGATATTTCATAATAACTGCTTCATGGAGAAATTAGTTTTTCGACACCAAGGTTATAAAAAGTACATTATGAGAAACTTATTGATTTTTTTATTTTATTTATTATTATTATTTTTGGATTAAAAAATTGTTTAGGCTGTTTTTTCTTTAATTCAACTAGAATTTGGTAAAGCCCAATAAGCATAGGTGAGTATGGTCACAGCTGCACCGACTCGAGCTATTCTCATGCACTCTGTGTCTCTGTCTTATGTCTTATCTCCAGATGTGTTAAATCATTTTGATGGTTCTTTAGAATGTCTATTTCAATGCATGGCAAGAAGTATCTTTTCCCGAATATGTATATGGGTTGCACCATTTGGTGTTTATTTATTCAGTTGTAGTACTTATAAGCTAAGTTGTAAGTTTGTTATTTTCTATAATTAACATTTTCCGTGCCACATTCTTTCTACATTGAGTGTAGAGTTCGACTCAAGGATAGTGGGATTAACCGGACCAGTTGCTGCTATAAGACAGATGGCACAAGAGTACCGTGTATTCTTTAAAAAGGTTGACGAAGAAAGAGATGATTATCTTGTCGAGTCTTCTCAAAACATGTAAAGTACAAACCTCTCATGTCACTTTCCTCCAAGCTTCCTCATCTTCACTGTTTTCTCTATTCTTTTCCCAATATACATCTTAAGCCATTTTGAATAATTATTGTATGAATGTCATTATGAACAGGTACTTGATGAACCCAAACATGGAAGTAGTGAGGTGCTTTGGACTTGAATACAGTGCGGAAAAACTGACGGAAGCAATACTCGAGGAGATGAAGAAATCTGGAACTTAACGTTGGACAGAATGTGGCCTAAACTCAACAGGTTAGGTGTATCCTTTTCAACTGTCAAATCAAACATTTTTTTCCCTTCACACTGTCAAAATGTTAATTGGTGTGGAATTTGATCCAATTTCAATACAAAATGACACTCGGTACCTGCAGCAGCTAAGGTTCCTCATGTTCACTGTTCAATTATCACCTTGAGTTTCCAATTACATTCACAGCCGCTTCATTTTTTTACATGCAATATGCATAGTGACACTGTAAAGCACCCGATATTTTGTCTCTTATCCAGAAAGGGCAATCTTTTCCAGTTCTGCACATGTTCGAGTTTTGTTCCGTTGTATTTTTCAGCAAATTTAAAGCATACGCATAAACTGGGCTCAACCATTAAGCAAATCAATGGCTGGGTAAGGTCCCGAATTTAGGGAAGGTACCGAAAATGTCAAAACTTTCATTTTTTCTGAATTTTTTTCTTACTAAATAAACCTTTATTGGAAATAATTAAAAAATAAAAATAAAGTATTAAAGATTTTTCCGCTTTTATGTTTTAGGTTTTCTTATTCTTGAAAACACGAGATAATTTCTTTTTAGTATTTATTATCAGTACGCACTTTGAGCTTATTTGTTCCACATTTTTGCTCCATTTGTAGAAAAAAATGCACCGTTGCCAATCAAATCAGCCACCATCTTTGACTTTTTTTTATCTCACACATTCAAATTTTTTGAAAATAACGGTCAGAATTTTTAAACTTTTGACCAAATAATTTGAGCCAAACAGGGGCTTTATTTATGTACAATGAACTAGTCAAAGAAACTAGAAACATCCATCCAAAAAAAAATAAGGGTTTTGCCATTCGTCTAGGGCCACATGCGTCCCCTAGAGTGTGGCACTGTCACTCTAGCAAAACCTAAAAAATAAATCAAAAGATTCATTGAATTTTCCATGGTCGGTAAAATCAACTCTTCATATGGTGGATTTCTCGTAAAAAGAAGATAATAAATTTCAATTCTCTATTGTCTAATTGTATTAAGGTGTTCCAAAAATACGAAAAGTTCAATATTTTTTCACTTCTTTGTAAGATGTTGCAAGTGCAATTTGAATCTTGAAAATATTCTAAAATGTGATATACTTTATATTAATTTTGCTACATGTACATCAAATTTGATTTTATGTGAGATGACAGCTTTTTGCACATTGATTTTAATACAATCTTTTTCAATCAATGGTCAGATTTTATTCATATTGGGACAATCTCATTCGCAATGTAACACAAGAATGTACAATCAGCATAATTGTACTTTATATTGTTTAATTTAAAAGTGTTAACATAAAATTATCAGAAGGAAAATCAACTCCGATTTGGATTATTCTTCCTTGCATAAAAATAGTTTATTCGTTTCCGAATGCATATATAACAATTCCCAATTTTGTTGCTCTAAGGTCTTGTTTGATAGTATTTCATTTCCATTTTGGTCATTTTTCTTGATTTTTGAGGAAAAACTTTTTCCACCACTTTGGTGGGAAAAGCTTTTTCTAGGCAATTTTTTTTTTTTTTTGGCATGAAAATAAATTTTATCCCCAATTGTTACAAATTTTATTCCTTCAATGGATAATTTCCAAGGAAAATAAAACCAAACGAATATAAAAAGATCTAAAATTTCAATATTTTTCAAGTGGAAAATTATATCAATCAAACACAATTAATTGACAATTCCCAGTAAAACAAATTTTAGGTAATTCAATTCCATAAAATTCATTTTCTTTTAACCCAAATTCCATTCTTGCAATCAAACGAATCCAAACGGTAAAGAGTGTGACTGTAACAGAAACGAGATACGATAATTACACAGGATCACTATGTTGATTCCTTCGAAATTTCGAATGTTATCAATGGATCAAGACATGTATCACAACTTATTCTTTCTCAATTTTCATCCTAAGCATGTATTCCAGGCAAGTCATTGAGAAAGCCTATGCTCCTCTGCCTCTGCCTTAGCACATATAATTTATCGAAACATATATATTAAAAAAAGTAATACCACTTATAAATAAAATAAGTAAACTTATATTATTAAAACTTAAATTATGTCAACAAGCTCTATATGTAACGCCCATATTTGGCTCCATTCTTCAAAAACTCATCTTTTTAAAATTCATATTTCAATCACACATTCTTCCATAAAATAATATTACACGTAAATCAAAATTTTTTTCCTTATTTTTAACCACACATTCTCCAAAAAATCACAATTCCAAAATTTTTTAAATTCTTATAATTTACTTTGAGCAAATTAAACATAACTATAATTATAGAAAATCATTTCACCATTAGTTCACAAGATAATTTTAATTATATTAACCTCATTTTAGATGAAATAAGACTCAAAAAGTTGAGATGTACAAATATGATGCTCAAAACTTGAAATAGAAGAGTGTGATTTTTCACATGAGTATTTTTTATATGGATTAGTCTAAATGTACACAATCCATTACATAATGGATAACACCCCCTCACATGGAGGGAGGTTCACACACAATAAAATATTCGTGAGCTCCCTCCATGTGAGGGAGATATAATCCATTAGGTAATGGATTAGGTGTACATCTAGTACAATCCTTTTTATATTTATCATAAAAATTTGGCATGTATAGATGGTTTGACTCTATGATGAGTTATAAGTAGTGTAGGATCCATTTGATATGATTTTTGTTTTATTTTTACTTCTATTTTTTATAGAAATTTTTGTTGGAGGAAACTGTTAGGTTCAAAACACCTAGATCATACACAAACATGATTAACCGCACTCAATAACACACTCTGCAGTAAAAGAAAATAACACCAAAATGTTACACAGTTCGGCTATGCCTAATCTGGGGGGCTCAACTACCAGCCCAATTCACTAGTGCACCAAGAAAAGCCTTCTAGAGGGATATTTACAAGTGGAACCAAATATCAAGTTCTAGTCATAGATTGAACAAATGATCTCTTAGAACTTCGACAAAAAGACTCAAACCCTATCGTATAAATCACAAGAACAGTCACTAATCAAACCAACTAAAAATATAGACTCAAGCCACTGTTATCATATGCGAAGAGAGGCCCTATAATTATACAAGAATAACTCCTTAATTGTGGGAAAAAAAGAAAGGAATCACTCAGAGAGAATCCAAGAAACCATAGCACTTTTCACCTAGAAGAAACCAGACGCAGAATCAATAATGAAACCCAAGAGTCACAGCCAAACACGTTAATAAGGCTCAATTGAATCACAGCTATTGATTAAATTGAACGGTTCACAACCCATGTGAAGAAGCACAATCCAAGAACAAATGCCCCAGTCGATAAAAACCAGCCACGTAGACATAGCTTAAAGAGTTTTAATTTTTGGAAACACGACTTTAACTTTTAATCTTCATATTAGTTCCAAAATGCAAACTCCCTACAATATGCTTAAATGGTACACTAATTATGTGGAAGAGTCCAACATCATTGCCCGGGTACCTGTAAAAGATTAACCAGTATCAATATGCAGTAAAGATAAACAAATTCTAAACTTATTTAAATGTAGAATTTCGGTTCCCATATCAGATGGATTTACATCAGTATGAATTTTCTCAAGTATAATCTCACCACATGCAATTTTCTCACGTATAAAATGATACTTCACCTCAATATGCTTGAATCTTTTACGATACACAGAATTTTTGCATGATAGTAAAGCACTTTGACTATTAGTAAAAACTGTAGGTGTCTCATGTAAAAAATTCAATTCTCCCAAAATTCCTTTTAACCAGATACATTCTTTTACCGATTCAGCTATTGCCACATATTCAGCCTCTGTACTGAATAATGTGACAATAGGTTGAAGTTGTGTTTTTCATGTAATACAATTATCACCAAGTGTAAAGAAATATGCTGTAGTAGACTTTCTTTGGTCTTTATCCCCAGCGAAATCAGAGTCTACATACCCTTTCAATATTAATGGATTAGATCCCTTCTTAAACAACAAACCTATTCTAAGTGTTCCAGCTATATATCTCAATAATCACTTTAACCCAGTCCAATGAGATTTCCCTAGATTTGAAATAAACTTACTTAGAAAACTGATAGAATATGCTAAATCAGGCCTAGTTGTAACCATAAAAAAATGACAGATCCTATGACATTAGCATATGGAATGTTCTTCATATCTTTAAATTCAGATTCAGTTTTAGGACATTGAGCTGCAGAGAGGTTCATGTGTGCAGCAAGGGGAACATTCATAGACTTAACTTCTTTCATGCTAAATTTGGTTATAACTTTATTCAAGTATGCTTTTTGAGATATAGTCAATATATTTTCTTTCTTGTTCTTATTAATAACCATCTCCAAATTTTTCTTAGTATTCTCTAAGTCTTTCATATCAAATTCAGATTTTAGGAGATTCTTAAGCTTTAATATCTCAACTTTGCTAGAATTAGCTAGCAACATATCATCTACATATAGAAGTAGATACACCTCATTCCTAGCTTTAGTGTTGTTATAGTACAAGCAATGATCATATTCACTTTTCCTAAAATCAATTTTCAGTACATATGTGTCAAACCTTATGTACCATTGTCTAGGACTTTGTTTAAGTCCATACAGAGATTTTTGCAACTTGCACAAAAAGTCAAATTTTCATTTTTCCTCAAAACCTTGGGGTTGACTAATATAAATGTCCTCTTCGAGCTCCTCGTGTAAGAAAACCGTCTTGACATCTAATTGTTCAAGTTCCCAATTAAATTGAACAACTAGTACAAGAATCAATCTTATTGTTTTGTATTTGATTACAAGAGAGAAAATTTCATTATAATCAACACCTTCCATTTGAGTAAAACCTTTGGGCACAAGTCTCGCCTTATATCTCAAAGGATCAGTAAAATTAATTCCTTCATTGACTTTGAAAATCCATTTACATTTAACAACTCTCCGAGTTTTAGGTTTCTTTACAAGTTTCCATATCTTATTATCAAGCAAGGATTTCAT